CCAACTTACGTGATTTGATCTAATTTCTAAATTTCAATGATTCAACAGCAATGGGCAGCAAAGTCCATGAATAAACATAACTACCAAAAATGACATTCTCAGATTCAAACTATACATTAAATGATTCTATCATCAGTCATGTTGTTGTTTTTAATGATTCTATCATCAGTCATGTTGTTGTTTTTAAAGATCATTTTATTGGGGGCTTTTACAGCTCTTATAACAACCCATACACCAATTATATCAAGCATATTTGTACATATGTTGCCATCATTATTTTCTAAACAATTACTTTCTATTTGAGCCCTTGGTATCAGCTCCTCTCCCCCCCCACCCCCCTGTGACCCCTGGATAAATTATAAAATATCATTACTGTCCTATCTTACACTGACTGCTATTTCCCTTCCCCCATGGTTTCTGTTGTCCCCCCCCCAGCGGGTGTGGGAGGGGTATGGTTACATATGGATCATTGTCTCGGTCCACCCGATCCACCACCACCCCACCCCACCCCCGCCCCCTGCCAACCTCTCGCCCCTTTCCACCTGCGCTCCTGGTATCACTCCCATCTCTGTTCCTGAGGGTTTTATCTGACCTGGATTCCGAGTGTCTAGAGCTCTTATCTGCACCAGTGTACATGCTCAGGTCTAGCCAGATGTGAGGTCAGCAGTTGAAAACCACCAGCTGCTCCTTGGGAAAAGAATGCGGCTTTCTAATCCAGTACAGATTCCATCTTGGAAACCCACCGGGCAGTGCCACCAAACATTAGGATCGGTAGATGGAAATTTCAAGGTATGTAAATACATAGCTATTCATTTTTATCAAGGCTTTCCACAAATAGGTTTAAAGTTCCTCATCAGTAATGGTCAAAAGGGAAGTCGCATTTCATTGAATGTGTAGATTTAGATAAATGCAGGGTTGACACACACAAACCAGCGATTGCAAACACTGTTCTTATGAACATCTTTATTGATACTGGATAAAGGGTGCATAATGGAGATGTATATGAAAGCAAAAGACTCTAAACTTTCAACCAAGACACACAGATGTATGCATGCAGGTACACACCCACCCACCGGTACACACAGAGCTCAGAACATGGATTTTTATCTTTGCCTATGTTTCCTCAAGCGTGTCAGGTCGCATACACTGGGACAATCACTGAGGTCTCCTAACAACAGCTTCAGTCTTTTACGTTTTGATAGTAAATAAGATACATGTTGCTCTAAAGTGAACCTGGGAAAGCACCTTTTCAAAAATCTTACCTACTTTATACTGTCCTAAAAATACTCACTTTGCAGTGTCAGACCAGGTAAAGCATAGAAGTGGCATTCTGCGCCAGGGTCTTCCTCGTGCTAGGGATGAGAAAATAGCACATGGACCGCATGTTTGCACAGCAAGAAAAGATGCCATGCTGGATGGGCAATTATGTGATATTTGTTCTGTGCTGTCATTACTGAGAGACTTTGAAAATAAAAATATATTCTCAGTGCTCTCAGATGATGAGTTGGTTGACTTCTGTGTAGCGTTGAGCTGTTTCTTTGTGAGATTTTTATTTTTAAATCATCTTGCCTTGGGAAACTTCATTCAGTTGAAAAACAGCACCCGAATGTAGATGAAGTTGAGACGTTCAGTCAGAAATTTCATAGATGTGTGCAATTTCAGACCTGATAGAGCTTCTGGATGCGTGTCCTCCATTATATCCATAACTAATAATTCAGCTAATGATTTGTGGGTTGATAATTCATTATTGAAACTGAGGCAGAAACCTGTTTCTTCCTGTAGTTCCTTCCCAAGATGGAATGGGAGGTATAATACCACGTTTTTGGGCTGTTGTAGCTCTGCTGATAAAGTTAGTGACTTTAATCCAGATTATTTCGAAGATATACATGAAATTCTATAGCAGGTCTACAAAATTAGATTTTAGAGTCTCTGCTAAATTGTAATACCACAAGCTCAGTGAAGCATTTGAATTCAGCATCGTATGTCAGAGAGGATGTCAGGAAGCCAGCGCATTTACTCTTCTATTTTCCCCTGTTGCAGTGGCCATACTTGAACTCTCAAAAGTATTTTATATAAAGGTGCTTTTGCTCTGACAGACATCGCTGCTCGGTAACATTTCAGTCTAGCATCAGTTTCTCCTCCATCAGGACAGGCCCCAGCACCACAAGAGATTAAATTCTTATTAAATGAACATGAAATGACTCAGGTATGCCAGGATGAGTTCTAGACTTAGCGCCGCTCAGTCTTCCCTTCTATACCAAATATTTATTCAGCAATAGCTTTGAGATATATTTTATGTCAAGTTGAAAAATGATTCCCCACCAAATGGGGATGGTACTTTGCATTTGCCCTCAATTGAACATAATCTTTCTGTGGAACCAGCAGAAAAATGACTCTAGCTCACTCCTGCCTTCTATTCAACAGTGCCCCTGTCCCTGATACTTTGGAGGAGAATATCTTCATTTTGCTATTTTCAGGAACCCTCTTGTGAAATCAAATTGAATTATTCTAAAACATTACCTTTAATTTCAAATGTCTGAAAATCCTGAGTCAGTTATTCCTCCGTATACAAGTGAAGTTTTCTTTTTGGTTTTGGTGGTGGTAGGGTTTTTATTTTGGGGTCTCCCTCTAACCAGATAGTCAGGTTCTGATATCAAAAAACAAAATTTTTCAAATTATGCCCCATAACTGGAAAAGGAAAACTTTAAAGAGATCTTCATTATTTTAGCTGCACTAACACATTATTGTAAATGTGAAACAGCTGGAAATGTCCAAAATGAAAAATAAAGAATTTATAGAAAGAAAATGGTGAAGTGTGTAGGTAAAGACTAAATATTATAAATGCATCAATTCCTCACACAGTAAGTTATAATTTAATTTAATATAATTTAATGTAATTCCTAAACAGGAGCTCAATGACTTTATTTTGCTGGTTTTTCGGATGCAGGCACTTGTCAGACTTATTCTGAGGACCTTTGGGGAGTAATGTGCATAAAAGCTTCCACAGCAAACATTTTTCAACAAAAGTAGTACAAAGGGGACTGTCTAGGCAATGCAATACATACATATATACATACATAGTATTATTAGGCCCAATGGCAGCAGTGTTCTACAGATTTCTAACAGAAAACAAAAAACAAGTTGTTTTACGTTTGCAGAATTGACTGGGCTGTCACTCTTGAAGTGGGGAAACCGTGTTCTCTCTATGAAAAGAAGTGAACAGAGGATAGTGATAGAACGTGTGAATCTCCACCCGGTACCACCGGCCCTTCCATATTTCCTAGCTGCTTTGTAGTTAGGAGGAGTGCTGGGGGCAGGTGTGGTTAGCACGGGGCTGCTGACTCCAAGGCCAGCAGTTGGAAACCAGCTACTCCGCAAGAGAAAGCAAGGCTGCGCTCTCTACTGCTCGAGTCACACAGCGTCTCACAAACGGGCAGGGACAGGGTCGCTGTGAGTTGGAATCGACTTGCTAGCAATGAGTGAGTGAGTTTCTACTTGAGTGAAAGTCATATACAGTGAACCCTCTTTTATCACCGTTAATCGGTTCTAGACCCTACCGTGATAAATGAAATTCCGCGAAGTAGGATTCCTTATTTGTAAATCAAATATTTTCGTAGTTAGAGCATAGAGGACATGAAAAACACCCTTTAGTCACCATTACACTCATATTACCCAATTTATTAAACGAAAAAGGGAAAATACAGTAAAACATTTTGGACGTTACAATTATCATTTATTATTTATTATATTATTTATGGCATCTAGTTTACAGTATTACATATTTCACATACAGTATTATTATACATAGTTCTTACAAATACTGTAATCAATAGCCTATGAAATGACTTAAGGGATGTACTCTACAGGTGGGTCGCTGTCTTTTTCCTCTGAAGGAGCGGGTGTAGGCAGTGGGTGCTGTTACGCAAAAACCGCGATAGAGTGAAGCCGGCGGAAGTTGAAGCGCGAAGTGGCGAAGGTTCACTGTAATGGCCTTAGTGTAACCTGAATTGATTTCAGCGGGTTCTGTTCCGTAACACACCCAACACAACCTACCCACCCTTTATCCTCTTGCCCCGGCAAACACAAAGGCCACAGGTTCCAGATGTTGGCTTGTGATTTGCAAACAGCCTGAATCTTTGGGTCACTCCTCGGAAGAGAGCATATTCAACAAGCTGCCTGGTCAATTTCAAGGTGACAACAGAAGCAAAATAAACAATATTAGTTCAATTAAAAGAGAGAAGAGCATGGATCTTTACCAGAATAAAAACAAACCCGCTGCCATTGCCTTGATTCTAACTCCTGGGAACCCTGTAGGACTGAGTAGAATGGCCTCCAAAGGGTTTGCAAAGTCCACTGACCGCCTTGTCCTTCTGCAGCAGGACCTCCGGGAGGTTTCGGTTGCCAGCCTTTTGTTTCCCACCATATCACTTTAACCGCTGTACTACCATACTGCTGCCTGTCTGACACCAAAAGATGGTTGTCTCAACCCTCTACATATGGATTCACAGCCTTATTTTAAAATGATAATTAAAAAGAAGTTACAGTATAATTTGAAGAAGAGGAAAGTGGGTAGTTTGGAGAAAAATGATCCCAACAGATCACTTGTATTGTTTGGTTTGGTTTGAGTGTGTCTCAGAGGTGCTATGTCAACACCCTCTTGCAACTGTGTCACGTGCTTTTCCATTTTTCAGCATATGAAACCCAGGATTGAGGAACTGATAGGGACAGCAAGTAGAATAAGGGGTTCCGGAGAAGAGTGGGGGGTTATCATGGTGGGAGGGGTGGTGAAAGGGAGACGATGTTAAGGGGTCCATGCAAAAAAGAATGTTTTGAAACTGATGGTGGTATAGCCATTGCATAATTCTCCTGGACGTGATTGAATTACAGAATTATATGATACATGTATTAAATCCCACCTCAACAAAAAATAGTAAATAGATTTCTTAAAAAAAAAAAAAAAGGTGATCTGATGGGTATTCTTCGTTTGTTTTCTTTCTTAGGTTTTCCAGGGAAACTTTGACAATGACACCCACAGAAAAAATGTTATCGACCCTCCCATCTACGCCCGGCACCTACGAATCCTTCCTTGGTCCTGGTACGGGAGGATCACGCTTCGGTCAGAGCTGCTGGGATGCACAGAGGAGGAGTGAGGATCTATCCCTGAAAGTCTTCCTGGAATGGACTGTGCAAACTGTAGAAAAATGAATGGATTATCCCCCCACCTTTTTTTCACGAGAGAGTACTCAGTTTATGGTAGGCCACTGTCTTTAAGGAGGTCTAAAGCTCGCCTTTTCAATGTTTCCATTTTACTTTAATTTTTATTACTTTTCTCGTTGCTTTCTGAGTAATTCATACTGGTTGAAATATGTTGGGGGAAGAAAGTGCCATTCTATTTAGAGCAAGAGTGAAGAGAAATCTCATCTTTATTAAATAGCCACTAGAGTTGATAGAGCTTTTACAATCAATATTCAACCAGTTCTTACAAAAGGAATACATGTTAGCAATAGTTGTTTTTCTTTTATTTTCCCTTCTGTAATGACTCTACATTACCCTAATTGTTTCCCTGTGCCTACCAAACAAATCATATTTGTAATAAGATTTTGAAATGAATCTCTAATATGCAGTACATATATAATTACCTTCTTTTTACTTTCTTATTTCTAATCAAAGATCATTGACTTATTTTTATTTTAGTTCCCTTCCATATTCTTTGTATTTTATATTGCTTGAATAAGGCTATTTACTTTTCAATTTAATTTCCTGAGTTACTTGCCTAAAAAGGGGGCTGTGATAATTTGTATATGTGGCGCATAATTGAATCTTTGTAGATTGATCTGTATTTATTGATCCGTAGATTGAATTGGCAATTTTATATTTGAAGGAAGGGATATACCTGTGTAAATTCTAAATACTTCCTTTATAGAGAATCACATACTATCTTCTGGCAAAATTAAAAGCAACCAGAAATATGAATTTTGTCCCTTTTAAACTAAATCCAAGCCTTTGTTTCATGGTCTTTACATAGCCTTTTCTTTAAAATAGTAGAACCATTTATTCCTTGTAATTTTTTAAACAGCAAATATTAACATAGTGCTGCATAACTTGGCCAAACATACTCATAGTTACTTTGTTCATCTTTGAATTTCCTGTGAAACTAAAAATTTATGGAGATTTGAAATTGGTTTCCCAGGAAGGCACATTGCGTAGTTATCTGTGAACAGAGAAGTATGTAGTAGTGACGAAGTAGTGTACCATTTTCACGTTAAAAATTGATGTCTGTTTATTTGGCTTCAAAGGTCCCGAGAAAACAAGCAATCATCATAACAATTTGGAAGTTTCATTGACAAATCACTCAAATGCAAGCTCGCACCATCTCCACAGAAGTCCTCAACATCTAATTTATGCATTTTACAAGTATTTATTTAAAAGACTTAGACACAGAATTATCAGAATTTTAAATAATGGGTACTGGGAAAGAAAGTGTAGTTTATGCACGAAATGTTGAGGTCATGTGCAACACTGCTACATGCCTTTGGTTCGGGTTTGTAGTTTTTTGTGCTGCATAACAAAAGCCTCTAGACGGTTACTGTCTTGTCTGCCCCTGTGTTAACGGCATTTCTTAATGATGTATATATGGAGTGGTCTTCAATCAGAGTGAAGGATTTGAAGAGAAAGTCCATCATAATGACAGTTTTTGAATAAGGGAAAATTGGCTAGTTTTAAGGTGACTAGTTTGTCCTACCCCATACCCTTGATGCTCTAACTGTGAAATTATTGGTTTGAAGCATCTAAAATGCTAATTATTTTCAGCACCTCTCAAAAATAGAACTGTTGTGTCTTCGATGTAGTCTTTTTTTGGAAAACTAAAATTAGGAATTTAGAATGTTTTATAGTAGACTATTTATAGATTCATGCTACAAATAATTACTTAGGTCCCAAACTGTACAAACATTCAAAGTCTAGCCAATAGTCCTAATTCTTTTTCAAAGTTTAAAATCACGTTACTGTCCCTTCGAAGTTCTAACCTCTTTCTTTTGCAGGTCACCCTCTAAAGGAAGGCTTACAAATCATGAGTAATGGTTTGTGATGACTCACTTTTTCAAAATTACTCATGCCTTCATCAGCTACTTTGAATATTTTTATTGACAGCTTTTGCAAAAGGGATTATTTTCCAAGGAAGTTGCTTAAGATTCTAGTCGTTATTAAGGAATAAATGTAAACTGCTTTCTCTTGCTCGTGTACTTTTTCTGCTCTATATACTACTTACCAGTATGGCAGGTCCCATGGAGCAATGATTTTGTCCTAAGACTTTCCAAAATTGCTGATAACAAAGGCACTCCCACATGTAGGAAAATTGAAAAATGCCAAGTACTTGGTAGCATTTGTGTCATTTTTGTCATCTGTTACACCAAGCTCTGCAAATGCATTCTATTTAAATTCACACAGAGCCAAGTACAATCTAACGAGCAGAACACAGAGAAGAAAGACCTAAGCTGAATCACTGTAATATGCTCATCTTATCATCTAAGATATTCACTTCAAACATCTTAGTTTTATTTATGGTCTAGTAAAATTGCTTATCAGAGTTATAAATTCTTATTTTAGGATTGGCTTTCTCATTCAGAATGACTTCCAAAGGGGTAGTGTGAATTTTGAAGACATGGGGTACTAATGATTGTCTCTGTGCTAGTCAACAAAGTATGAAGTATAACACCCAATGCTGGTGTCTGATGTGTCAGTAAGGACAAAAACAACTAAGACTCAAATAACCTTTGCAACCTTTCATGCTGTGTAATATTCCAATGTGGTTTTTTTTTCTTTGTATCTATATATACACTTAAATCATGTAGGATGTTGTAAAATCAGTATGACCTTGTCTAATCTTTGAACTTCAAATAAAAATTTTGAAAATCTGAGATCCTTTTGAAGCAGTTGTAATTAAACAGATTTGTAACAATACACAAATTGTCTGAACATGAATGCCCACTGCTCTTGATGACATCTTGTATTATTTCCTTTTAGAAGGCAGTTACACACACGCAGAAAAAAGAAAAGACATTATAATATGCAATACCAACTTCCCCAAGTTATTATAATGTATGCCTTCCTCCCATTTCTTTTTTTAAAAAATAATTTTATTGGGGGCTCGTACAACTCTCATCACAATCCATCCAAGCACATTTGTACATATGCTGCCATCATCATTCTCAAAACATTTGCTTTCTACTTGGGCCCTTGGTATCAGCTCCTCATTTCCCCACTCCCTCCCTGCTCCCCCTCCCCCTGCCCATGAACCCTTGATAATTTATAAATTATTATTATTTTGTCATATCTGACACCATCCAACATCTCCCTTCCCCCACTTCCCCATTGTCCGTCGCCCAGGGAGGAGGTTATATGTAGATCCTTGTAATCTGTTCCCCCTTTCTACCCCACATTCCCTCTACCCTCCCGGTATTGCCACTCTTACCACTGATCCTGAGGGGTTCATCTGTCCTGGATTCCCTGTGTTTCCAGTTCCTATCTGTACCAATGTACATCCTCCAGTCCAGCCAGATTTGTAAGGTAGAATTGGGATCAAGATAGTGAGGAGGAGGAAGCATTCAAGAACCAGAGGAAAATTGTATGTTTCATCATTGCTACACTGCACCCTGACTGGCTCATCTCTTCCCTGAGACCCTTCTGCAAGGGGATGTCCAATTTCCCACAGATGGGCCCTGGGTCCCCACTCCACACTCCCCCTCATTCACAATGCTATGATTTTTTTTTTTGTTCTCTGATGCCTGATACCTGATCCCTTCGATTCCTTGTGATCGCACAGGCTGGTGTGCTTCTTCCATGTGAGCTTTGTTGTTTCTCATTTAGATGGCTCGTTGTTTATCTTCCAGCCAATAAGACCCCAGATCTACATCTTTTGACAGCTGTTCACCATCAGCTTTCTTCACCGCATTTGCTTATACACCCACTTTGTCTTCAGCGATCATGTCAGGGTAGGCTGGTGTGCTTCTTCCGTGTGGGCTTTGTTGTTTCTCAGCTAGATGGCCACTTGTTTATCTTCAGGCCTTTAAGACCTCAGATGCTATATCTTTTGGTAGCCGGCACCATCAGCTTTCTTCAGCACATTTGCTTATGCACCTGTTGTCTTCAGCGATCGTGCCAGGAAGGTGAGCACTCAGACTGCCAAATTGTTAGAACAAAGTGTTCTTGTGTTGAGGGAGTACTTGATTAGGGGCCCACTGTCCATCTGTTTCCTTAATACTAAACCTATAAATATATGTACATAGGTCTATTTCTGCCTCATTGTATATAAATATATTTACATCTGTATATGCCGGTACTTAGATCTCTATAACCACCCTTTCCTCCTAGTTCTTTCCTTTATGTCTTTGTACTTTCCTCTTGTCCTACTATCATGATCAGCCTTCACTTGGGTTTCAGGAATTCCTCTCAGTTACATTGCCCTTGATCCAGCCCTACCAGACCTCTTACACCCTCCTTGCCACTGATTTTGGATCACTTGTTGTTCCCTTGTCCCTGGGTTTGTTAACACCCACTTCCTTTCACCAGCCTCCCTTTCTCCCATGTCCCCTGGAATTGTCATCCCATTGTTCTCTCTTCTGGCTTCTTTATCCCACCTATCCCTTCCAGGTAGACATGCTATGTACTGTCACAAGACTGCGTACAACGAAGCAACAATAGAAAGTATGGTGCAAGATATGACAAAATAATAATTTATAAATTATCAAGGTTTCATGAGGGAGGGGGCAGCGGGGAGGGAAGGGAAAACTTTAGGAGCTGATGCCAGGGGCTTAAGTGGAGAGCAAATGTTTTGAGAATGATGAGGGCAATGAATGTACAAATGTGGTTTATACAATTGATGTATGTATGGATTGTGATAAGAGTTGTATGAGTCCCTAATAAAATGATTTTTAAAAAAGAAAATACAATAGCTACAACAGCAACACACACAAAAAACCCTATAAATAGTTCAGGGTCTATTTGTTGTCCTTCACAAGTGCTTTCCAGTCGAGTCTGATGGGGTGCCATGCCCTAGCCCCACATCTATCCCTGGGGACTTCATTGCTCTGCTGCCCCCACTGCTCTCTGCTGCATGCCACCAGAGGCTGGCTTCGGCATAGTGAGTTCAGGGTGGGCACAATTCCCACCCTGTGTCTCTAGTGGTGTCCCCAATGGTACTATGGGTCAGTGAGAAGCACTGTGTCCCACGGTGGGGCCGGCCCTGTGGTCGTCTCTGTGCATTGCTGTTCTGAGCAGAAACATTGTCCCCAGGACTTGGTGAACCAAGATGTGCTTCACTCTTTTTTTCCCTTTCCCCATGTTGGCTCCTGTGTGCTCTGATCACACAAGTCCCTCTCCTTGAACTGTAGCTTCAGTGCTGTGCTCTGAAGTGAATTCTTCCGGGGGAGGGGGGGTGGCGGGGCGAGGGGAGGGTGGTGGGGCGAGGGGAGGGTGGTGCTGTCCACTTAGTTGGTAATGGGGCTGGCTCCTCAGGCCCCTCTATCGGCTCCCTGCTTCATGTCAGTGTGTTGTGTTCTTGTCTTGGAGCACCGGGTTAAAGTCTGGTCCCTCTTTCCCTATGGAGACACAACCAACACCCTCCTGCTGTGTGGGTTAGTGCCCTGTTCCCCCATCTACCCATGTCTTTCCCCCCGCTCCCTTTTAATGGGCTACCATATGTATCCGATATGTATCCCCCAGTTTAGTCTGGCCCCTGCCATATTACCTGGACCTCACCCCAGGAATGTATGTATACAGTAGTTTCTTCCCTATGCCCCCTTTGAATGTTTTGGCTTACCTCAGTGGACTCATGTAGTACTTGTCCTTTTGTCCTCCCATTTCTTTTGATGGTGAAAATTTCCTTTCAATAAAAATAATCTAAACTTATCCTTGAAATTCTGTATATTAAAAATGTTATGCTCCAGGATCGATCAGCTCATTAGTAATCAGATATGATTGCTATTGTTTCTATTTTTTTGCAGTTCATGATGCTCAGGAGTATAATGAAGAAATTAAGCCAGTAATAAACAATAATACAAGAGTAAGGGTGTATACCCATTGATTTCAGATAGTACTTTAAAAAATCATAACCTTTGCCTTCTTTGAGAGCCTTGTTTTTAGCTCTCTGCAACTCCCTGGTGAATTATTAAGCCTGTGTGCTTCGTATTTACAATGATTTTCTTGAGATTCCAAAAATTGAGGAAAGAAAGTTGTTATTAAATATGACATTATTAGTTGAGCTTCAATCAATCTCTGATAGTTTTTAGTATGAGATTATTAAATGTGTTTATGACATTATTAGTTGAGCTTCAATCAATCTCTGATAGTTTTTAGTATGAGATTATTAAATGTGTTTATCCATTTATGCATGGTTCCTATCAAACTGCATTTCAATGTAAAGAATGCATCAGGCTTCTATTGTTTATCTTATTTTTTGGCTCCCAGACAAATACAATGAATATACTTTTATTAGATAAGAGTAACTAACATGTGTCAATTCGATAAATAAAAATCGATACATCTATTCAGGGAGATAGTCCACTGTGACTGTGATAGTGGAATACATATTTACTAGAAGATTTTCAACTATGAGGCTTTTAAAAAAAACTACCCAATCAAGATGTGGATAACAGAGATACATAGAATTCAAAGGGGGAAAAAATCTGTCCTTGTTGAAATATACAGTTTTGAAAATGAATTATGCTATAAATAACCCATGAATGGAACTGTGTTCGCTCAGTAACCTGATTTTAAAATATTTAGCACTTCATTATTGAATACAGGCCTTTAAGGATAGATTCTGGTAAAGAAACAGATTTTAGTGCCAGAAATGTAATGCTCTTGCCCTCTAATTTTAAAGAGTATTAACAATTTAAGTTGCTATGTTATTTCTTTGTGGGAAACATTGACTCTAGCTTTTGAGAGGCAAAAGGACCTTTCACCTGAGCAGGTGTCATGGTGACCTCAGACACTTTGCCCGGTGAGCAATGTCTGAACTACCCTGAAACCGCAAGCATTGTCATTGACTTTTACAGTGAAAAAGAATGCCTACAATAAGTAGCAATGTTTCTATTGATTTTGAAGGGGAACTAGGATACCTTGATTCTATTGCAGTGTGTGCCTATAATTCACATCAGAAGTTTCAGCCTTGCTGACAAATAAAGGGTTTGCCAGTAGGCAAGTGGCACTTACTCAGAAAGTTATTTCTATTATGAATGTGGAAGCAGAAAGAGGAGAAAGGGTTTGGGGAAAGATTCCTCATTTGGGTGGTCGTGGGGCTGATGTTGTTTCTGTATCTTGGCAGAAGTTGATGGAGTCTTTTGAAACCCAGGCTGTGGGAATCATGGTGTAGTGACAGCAGCAATAGGTCACCGAAGTACAGGATTAAGCATTGCATATGGTGACTGATTTTACCTTGTTTTATTTTGACCTCCTCGAAGATATGAACCACCATCTTCCATCCATATGGAGACCTCCCAAAGTGCTTTTTGCAATCCTCATGTATAATTATGCGAAGAAGGATCAATCTCGAGGTAAATTCAACCCGCCACCTGCTGGAAAGGAAGTGGACTGCCACTGATCTGTCTTCAAGCAATGGATCTCATGACCCTTTCAGAAATTGACAAATGAAGTTAAATTTTTCTCTAGAAAGCTATCAATTACATATGCATCAGGCCAAAATTAACAGCAACAACAACATAAAAACACAGACGGCATGCACATGGAGCAAAGGAAACTAAATCAAACCAAGCAAGCGCACTGCCATCAAGTCCATGTTCACTTGCAGCAACCCTCCAGGTCAGGGTGGAACAGCTGCCCCTGTGAGGGTCTGAGACTGTAACTCTTTATGTGAGGGGAAAGCTGGTAGTTTTGAACTGGTGACCTCTTAGGTCACAGA